GAACTTTGTATTTGACAGAAAAACTTCTTTTAAAAATGCTTCTCTGGCAAAGGGGAGATGCTTCTTCTGTTGGACCAAGCACAGTCTTAAGCACATTTTGGTGTGTATACTTCCGGTATTGCAATGAAATCTGATTTTCTCTTTGTTCTTAAAAGTTAACTTAAATTCAGTATTCATGATCTGTCATTTGATACAGTGGTGTTTAATGGTTAAATTGTGTCTTTCGGGTATTTAACCTTTATTGGGCTTTAAAAAAAAAGTTACTTCTCTCTTTGTTGTCTTATTAGTGAGCTCTGCCTGATGCAAAGTGGATTTGGTTTTACAGCATAAATATACCCTTCTTCTGTAAATAAATCACATAAGAATGGGAAGAAACTTTAAGAAATAACTTTTAATTTTTCATAAGCAGAGCCAAGTCCATTAAAAACTTGCTGTATCTTCTTATGCCCTGTTCATTTGGATTATTGCATGCATAACTTCATGAGATAGTTAACGCTTTAGCTTCAAGTGGATTTTTGCTTTTTAACAATTTCTGCTATGTCTGTATCTTCCCTGAGGAGTTTTCATCTGCCAAGTGCTGGGTATAGTTTATCACGTGCATTTACCAGTCATGTCTTTATTGTTGATTGAAGCTTTGATTTAAGCTGCTTGGCAGTCATGTATGGCTAAATATATGCAAACTCACAAAGCAAAAACATGTACTTTGTTCTTGTTCTCAACAAAACAAAAACCAAAAAACAAACACCAAAAAACCCCAGACATCAAGGCTGTTGTCCTTCCTACTTGGGAGTCTGATGGATCTGAAATTTACATGGAGAGGTCCTGAGGGAGGGGTCAGGCACCCTTTCACTGCTCACCTGCAGCAGTAGCACATGCAGTTGCATTGCTTTTTGAAGATCTGAGGAAAATTCAACAGAAATGTTTAACCTTGGATGAGCAAAGCATTCCCTTGAAGAGTAGCTGTGATATTGACAGCAAAGTCATACTTGAGGATGGAATAGAGGTTGCTTATGAAAGTAGTTCAAAAACTGCATCAGCAAATACCGATGTTTATGCAGTATCTAAATGTATAAAAGATGGGGTTTCTTAAACATTAAATCAGTCGCCATAAATATACATTTCTCAACATTTTCTTCTTGAAGTCTTCACAAATGCAAAATGGCATAATTACAATGCAAAAAAATTACCACAGGGAAAAAATCCTATTGGCGTTTTTCTAAAGAGCTTTGAGTGATTTAAAATTGCTTTCTGCTTTACAAAAGAGATACTCTTCCTTGTGGGGAAAAAAATGAGTATGACTATGAAGGCAAACATACCCACAAATTCTAAATTATTAGTAGCCCAAAAGACTATTTTCTTTGAAAATATTTAGAGCTTTCTTGTCATGCTTTGGGCATAGCAGTTATGGAGTGGTTAAACAGAAAGCAATATTAAGTACAATAATTTTTGTACCAGTCATCTTAAGTGTATTTATTTTCAGTGATTGAATTGTTGGAATTAAGAAGTGAAATTTGCATCCTTAGTTGTGACAAAAAAGAATGAATGTCTTAAAGGACTAAGGACAACTTGAAATACATATTAGCAGTATAAGAGAAAAGAACAAATCAACAAAAGCTGGATTTAGTTAGAAATAATTATATGGTTAATTATGGTACAGGACCATCAAATTAATTTTTGAAAATTGATTACATAACATAGGTATTAATTTAAGAATATGCTGGAGTTGGCAGTTTGCAAACTTATAGTTTAAGTTCTAGAAAACTTGGTGAAAATATAATGTCTAGTACTCTAGAGAGGGACGTTGATTCTGCAGCAATATTTTGAAAGAGCTGCATAGCTAAGTTAAATGACAACTCTATTTTGTCTTTACAGGTAGGGAAAGGCATTTAGATGTGCATAATTTGGTTTACTTTTCCAGTAGTGCCCTAGAAGCACTTCTGAAAACAGTCATTAATAAACATGACATGTTTGAATGCAGAATCTTACATACACTTTATACAGAGGTGTCTGATTGTGTATATGCAGTAGCTGGTACCATTATATTCTTGATTGGTGCCATCATTCTATGTGTCAACTTAATGATTCTTGTGCATATGTGCTTGTTTTCTGTTGGTCTCTGCATTGTTTTTAATGAGGCTAGAGCATTAGGTATTTTATTAGGTATTTAAGGTATTTAAGTTAGTTGGTTGCTGCAAGTATCAGTCAGGAAGACTTCTCTAGCTTGATGGCCTTTCATGCTATTTTAATTTGTTGCTGGATTCAAAAAATTAGTCCACTGTTTGGAGGGGCAGAAGGTCCTCAGCACTTCTGGTGATATAGGTTTTTACAGGTAATTATCACATTTGTATGTAGAAAGTAATTTTTTTTTCTCCGTGACTTGAAAGAACCACTGGTGAATCACCACAGAACTGTTATTACACCAAAGCACTGAAATGAATAAAACAGTACTTTTATAGCTGTTGACACAACCACATATATTCTAATATGAATTTATTATTTTTTTAATATAGAAGTAATTTTAGAACCTGAGGTTGAGCTTCTTATTTGTAGAAAGTTTTAGTGTCATTATGTTGTTATGGTATGACTACACTGAATTGTCCTTGTGAAATGCAGCAGTCATAGGATAATAACTGGCTGGTTAAGAAAAGCCAGTGGCTTACTTGTGACAGAGAAAAGCAGAAGCTGTCAGAGATTTCTATTGCATTCAGCCCTTCAATTAATGGTTTTATTCAAATTAGAATAATTCATTAGAAGTCACAGCTTAGTAAGACTCAGACAAGAGATACATAATGAAATAACAGTGACTGTATTTATCTTAGCAAAGCTCAGCATTGAAGGCTGTTTGTAATTTCAGAATTCCTGTAGCTCTGGTCCTGGAATATTTTGATGGTCTGCCAAATCATGCAGCTGGACAAATACCATCCCTTTGATTACTGTTGGGAATCTTTGAACACAGAGAGCAAAACTTAGCTTAGATAAAGAACACTGTGTTTTGTGTTCAATTTCCTGCTGTTCTGTGATAGCGGTTAGATTCTGGTAAGGACTGAAAATCATAACTTTTCTTACCTGAATCTGACTATGCTCCTGAATTAAGCATATAAATTCTTTTCTCTTGCTAGATTTGTGACTTTTTAGCAACATTTTGCTTTTATTTCATACAAGCAGCTAATTTTTAATATATCATCCTTAACACCCTTTTTTTTACAATTATTGTTCATCTTGTACATTGATATTGTACAAGATGAACAATAATTGTGTGACCCTTTGCTTGGCTAACTTAAAAGTAAAAATTTTCTCACCTTAAAAATATGAATAAAGTCATCCTTCTATTTTTTTAACAAACCTAGAGATGATGAATTAAGATTGTTTTCAGGAAATTTATTTGTGGTGGTTGTTCAGGTGTATAAGCAAGAGCAAAATCTTCCTTTCAGTTATGATCTGGACAGTGGCAGTCATTTTGACTGCTCGGGGCAAAAAAATAAGAATTGCAAATTCTTCCAAAGGGTTCTGTGCACCAAGGAGAGCAGAACAGAAGTGTACCTATATTGAAATTATTTCTTGTCTTCACAGATACAGGCAGTATAGAAAGAATTGATTGATCACTTACTGAGCATGATTTTGTATCTCATGTTAAGATTTCAAGAGACCAAAAAACTGCAAAAACTTCAGTTAATCTGTTGTCTCACTCACCCAGTCATCTCCAGTGCAATAAAGCTAAGGCTAATTTCCACTTATTCCTTTCAGTTCCATGAGGTAGTGTGGGGAATACAGCTTTGTGCATTTCACACTTTAAAAACTATATGTTAGTGATAAAGTGGAAATGGTAAAATTGTCATTATGCAGAAGAAGGGTTGTAGTTTGTCACACTCAGAACCTGGAAAGATAACATCTGCTATAAATATATGCATAATTTGTGTCCTGCATGGAGATGTATTGCAGGAAAAATAAACTTAAGTTACAAGTGCATAATATTCAGTGAGGCTGCATAGTGCCATGGGAGGTCTTCATCATTATTGTATTTATTATTCCATTATTTTCCAGTTTTATTCAGCCTAGTGCTACCCTTATTTGGAATACTAGGCACTCAGTCTGGTAGGTTAATCTTCCTGTTTATTATGTTTCATGATTCTACAGAATAACACATTTTAAATTACAATATGTTATAAACAACCAGATTAGAAATTGTTTCATATGTTGAGAATAAAATTGTTCTAAGTTGTTTTTTGTAATTAATTAGCAAAGTTTTGCACTGAATACCTTCAATGCCAACCTAAGCTGGGAAAAAACAGATTGTGAGATTTTAAACATGCTTATGAAGGCTTCTTACACTTAATAGCATGCTGTATTAGTGCTGCACTTCCAGAATGTGGTAGTGTTACAAAGTATTTTATTATTGTTTCAAACTAGAAGTAAATTTAGAGGTAATTTGTGGTTGGCACAGAGCATTTATTTCTGGCGTGCCTACACTAGTTTTTGGTGTTTACAACACATCCTAGCATAGCACTTCAAGATGAGCCAGGTATTGTGGAGTGTCTGGGCATGGGTACATACAGGTTTGTGTTTTCACACTGTTTATTTGTATCTAGTATCTGCTACTGCTTTAGGGCTGCTTCTCCTTGTTTCAGTGAATGTGTGGGTTTGTATCCAAATGCTATATAGTTTTTGGGATGGTATTGGAGGTATTCTGTAATAAAAACCCTTTAACACTTTTTAGATTAAAGTTACAATTTGAGGAAGATTTAATATGGAGAGAAGGCACTGTATTTGCTGACACTAAAATAGTATTAATGCATGTAAGGTGCACTGAAAATGCATGACTCTTTTCTAACCTTTATGGTTTAGCACTTTGGAATAATTTAGAAAAACGTGTTCTTTTAAAAATATGTTCATTAGCTTGTTCAGATATAACTTAAAAAGCTGTTTTTAAAGGCATGCATCCAGAGACATGCACACAATGAATTCAAAGTGCCAATGTTTCAGGGACTCTAAATTATTTTCAGAATTTCAGAAATTGAGAAGGGATAAGTGGAAGGAGAAAATGCTGGGCTGGTGCCAAGCGATAGCTCGTAACCCTCACAGACTTCCAAACAGCACAAGAACACCCGAGGTCTCAGGTGATGCTTCACATACTTTGGTGAGTGACAAGTTGCATTTCTTGATGGTGGCATGCTCAAAACTTGAGAGGTGTTAAATTTATTTTAAAAATTGTACTGTCTGCCATTGTTTGCATTTCCTCCACATGGGAAACCCTTTGATGTAACATCTGGTTACTCTTTCTGTTTGCTTTTTTTGGGCTTTTATGTTGTGCATGGTTCATTCTGACTTGCATGCTGTGACTATAAACCAGTCTTGATGTTTTGTGAATGGTGAAGTCTTTAAGCAGGAGATGACCCAATATGGGTCACTTACATTCTTTGTGATCCCAGTCAGTGCAATGGCATTTGGTCCATGATGAATACAGCTGGACAGTGTCTAAAGGCACCTCCTTTACTCTTTGTTCCTGCCTGTAACAGGAACAAAGTATCATGTGTCTAAACTTGTGTCAGACAGCTGGATTTTAAAATTATCTTCATATATTAAACATGCTGTTGCAAGAGATGATTGAATTTCTGCATGCAAAGCTATTGATAGTAGATGTTCAGGCAGTGTAAAGTTGACAGCTTACATCGTGGGGTTAAAATGTATCATGTGAAACTGAATAAAGTTACTCATTGATAAGAATTTTAATCCTGCAGTTTTTGTTCATTGAAATAAAGCCACCTACATCAGTAGACCTGGCCAGGTGAGTAAGAACTGGTACTTGTATGTAAAGGCTTCCAACTGCCCCGTCTCTAAGAGCAAAATTGTCTTCTTGTCTGCTTGTTTGAATTCAACTGACACTTTCAGGCTACAGCAAGACTGAATATTTGAAACATATCCAGTTTAATATGCCCGCTCCAATTTCATTAATGAGTGTTAAATAGGCACTGTGTTTCCCATCCCGAGAAACAGGAATGATCAGAAATACTGCCCTGCAGTTCTTGAAACCCAATTTCATTAATGAGTGTTAAATAGGCACTGTGTTTCCCATCCTGAGAAACAGGAGTGATCAGGAAATGCTGCCCTGCAGTTCTTGAAATATGGGCAGGGTGACATCGAAGCTAAAAGGTGAATAATTGTTCCTAACCACTGAAGAAATGTGATAGTCCAAATGAAGAGACAGGGGTCTGCTTGAAAGCTGTTGAGGTTTTGGTGAAATAAAGCCCCTAATGAATGTGGCAAAATTACCACGTTCAGTGGTAAATTATGCAGAATGTAAGTTTCTGCTATAGAAGAGAATGCAAAAAGACAGCATTAAAAGCTGCAAATTTTCTAGTTTATAATATATATCCTAGAATATTGTTATACCTCACTTTCCTCTAGAATACTTTACTGTCAGAGAAATAAAAGGAAATTAAAAATCAATGATTCTATGAAAAAATATGTCAACTATATTATCCCCACATTTAATTACTATTGCTATTTTATTTTTAATTTTTATTTAATTGCTTTTACTATTTTGCTATTAGTAGTAATAGGAGGTAGCTATTAAGGAACTGGGATATGTGGAAATTTGCATATTTTGATTTCTGCTTGACTGCTATTCAACATTTAATTTGGTTTGATATTCATGAGATAAGTATTCCAATCTACCAGATGGAATTTAGAAATTATGAACTGGAAATACAGTTCAGAACTGGTGAATCCATAGACTTAGCATCTTTTAACCCTATTAATATTAAAACTTGTTGAAAAATAAGTTTGCATGTAGACTGCTGCTTAGTTGATGAAGTATGTAAGAAAGCCAGAGAAATAAACTACTGGGGACAATACTGTGTGTCATTTAGTGTCGTGTTTGGCTGTAGAACAATAATCTTCACAACAGGAAATAAAGCAGTAATGTCTCTTGAGGACTGTCAAGCTTTTCTTTTCATTTTGTTTGCTTCCCACTCTCTAAACCATGACTTTTTCTATCCCTCACATCTGAAGACAATGATATTCAGTATAAGCTTTTGCTGGCAATGTCTTTCCAACTTGCAGGATGTTGACTGAAAATCCTTATTTCACTTGTGAACATTTGTAATCTGAAATTTTGTTTGAGATCAGTTTTGCTTTTGCTTAGTTGTCATAACCTTTTCAGTATTGAAAAATTTTCTGGCTGGTCTTGAGTGAAGATACACAGTTTAGCACTGGAAACAGCAGAAAATAAAGAATTATTTGCTCGAAGTGTACAAAACCACTTCTGGTGAGCTATTCAAGCCCCTTCTTTCTGAATTAAATTTAATTTTTCAATGCATTGCAGCTCCTCTGTGGACCTGATTCACTCAGTATGGGTTTATTTCGTGAATCTTGTGCCCCTGTGAGTCTGTGTCATGAAGATCCAGCTCTTTGCTTCCTTATTCTTTAGGCGACAAGTCTGAGTTCAGAAGGAAACAAGGTGGGATGTAGACTGGAACTTTTTTTGACCTCTGCCATATGCTTTTGTGTACACTTCAGAATATCTTCTTTATTTCAAAATTTCAGCTAAAACATTAAAAAATACTTTCCATTTAAAACTAACCCCAAAGTGGGCATTTCACAATGCCACTTTTCCGAAGGAAAAGGATCTGAAAGTGGCAACCAACTCTCATTCATTTTTTCCCAGAATCCTGGAATACCAGGATGGAAGGAATGTCAAGGATCATGTGGTCCAACCTTTCTTGGCATAAGCACCATACAGACAAGATAGCACCGCACTCTGTCCTGCTCAGTCTTAAAAATATCCAGTGTTGGGGAATCCAGCACCTTTCCTTTGGAGATTATTTCAATTGTTCTCATTGCAAAACATTTCCTCTTGTGTCTAATCTGAGTGTGCCCAACTTGTACCCATTACTTGTCTTCTGCTTCTAACTCCTTGTAAAAGGAGTCTTCATCTTCTTTGTAGCCACCCTTGAAATACTGGAATGTGATGATAATGTATATCTCCCCTAAGCTTTCCTTTCTGTAGGCTGAACAAACCCAGTTCTCTCAGCCTTTCCTCGTGTGGCAGGCTTCCCAGTCCATTTTTATGGAAAGAAATATTTTGCTCTCTGTGAAAAACAGAAGGGAGCTTACAGAGCAGGAAGCAAGTTATGATCATTAAGAAATTGCATTTTTCATTAAGCGAGTAAATGGAACACTGAACAGCAGTGGAGAAAAAACACAGAAGAATTAAACTCATAAAAACACTGGAATGTATTTAAAGAGTTTAATAAAAGCAGTTGCACCATTTCATTTTATTTGATGTTATGATGTTCTAGCTTCATCCAAATCAAATAAATTCTGGAATATTTGCGCAGAATTCAACTAAGGAGTCTTGGAAATATTTTTCTGTTATTGTTGTCAACTTAATTATAATAACATCCCCAAGTTTTATCACCTTAGTCTACTTCATTTGAAGATTAAAAACTTACATTCAGTTTTAGATGGCAGTCTAGCTTCTTGGTTCTGAGCACACCTTGAAAATTTTGAATCATTCTGTCATCAAAGGAGGCATCAGTTCTCAAAAAATACTGTTTAATATTGTAGTTTATTGGATTTGGGGGTTTGTATTGATAGTTTTAGATTCGTAGTGAGTAAATATTGTTTTTAATACTTAAAACAATTTCATTTGGTTGGTTAACTTTGTGTAGTAGAACATAAACCTGGAATTGACTTTGCCTCTCTGATAGCTAGATATCATCTCTTTATCAAGCTGAATTTATTATCAGTTTGTTTCTGTATGCATTATTTCTAAACTTTGAAGCACCATCCTTTGTAGTATTCATCATATTTTGAGAGACCTGTAATACAACTTTCCCCTTTTCGTCAGTTTCCATATTCCTATGAGTATCTTAAAAGGTCTTGTCTATTCCTGTTCCAGTTTGAACAGGGATGACCAGTTTTATACAGTATTCCAGATCAAGCTTTCTGTTCCTAACAATTGTAACATTGTCTGTCCAGTAGCACATTTATCATACTGCATAGATTTAGCATCACTTTATTGTTGCTTTTTTTAGCTGTTTTAGTTTTGAGGTGAAACCTCTAGACTATGCTGACTTTTAATACATGAAGACTGTATCAATTCAAATTATTAATGTTTTTATCCTTTCTATTCACCTGGTAATATGCAAATTCATCTATTTTTCATTTTCCCTTTCTCTGATATTTTCCAGAATTGAAGAAAGAATAGTAATTTTATTTTTCCTTTATTTGAAAAGAATCTAGATCTTGAAAACTCACAATTTTATGCAATAGTATTTGCAGGGTTTTTGTCTTCTGAAAAGAGATGAAAATTGAAAATAAGAAATTTAAAATTATTTCTTCATTAATCAGTCTGTGCTGACAGTATCTATTTATACTGTGATTCTGTAAGCATATGCGTATGTGGTGGGTTCAAATGATTTTGATGGGAATACGTAAATATGTATTAACATTGATTAAGCAGTTTGTCTAGAAGCAGTTCTGTCTGTGACTGCTTTTGCAGAGTGTCTAGTGTTTCTCAGGGTCCTAGTTCAAAACTTGAGCATTATTATAACCTATGTTCCCAACTGTTATTTGCAGGCTCTTCTGCATTGGGCATGGGCTGGTCCTTAATTCAGTACATTGTGTGAAACACCTGGAGCTAATGGCACAAAAGCATGCACTTGGTGCTGAATTGTAGCCATTAGTACAAACCACTTTTCCCTATTGTATTCCCATCCTGAATTATAGGTGACTATATGTGGAAGTATAGTCAGGTGAGTAACTAGGTAATTTGTGTTTCTATATGCAAATGAAATGTAGAAGTCATGGCCAATGATCAAGCATGTGATTTAACTCTAAGGCAGGATTTCTTTTTTTGCGAGCAAATGATGCCATCTGCTTCTTTAAGAGAAAGTAAAATATGATTGTGAATGATCTATTTGACAGGGGTAGATCCCATGTTGTCATATCTGATTTTGACTAAGCAAGTGAATAGTAGTCAATAGTCATTCTGAAATATAATTAAACAAACAAGGAAAAGTGGGTGGTTTTGGGGTTTTTTTGCTGTTCACCTTGACAGACGGCTCAGCCCCCTACAGCCGCTTTCTCACTTGATCAGTAGGATAGGGAAGAGAAGCAGTGGGGAAAGGTGAG